CGGCGCTCCCTCAGCACTGACCCGCTCCGGCAGTGCGGCGCTCCCTCGGGGTGTTCAGTTACCATTTTTGAAAAGGTGAGATATTTGGTGAGATTGGAAGTGTGAAGGAAATGATTCAGATTTGTAGGAGCCAGGTGCTGGACTGTTTTGATTCTGAATATGAGAATTTTTAAATAATTGTGCAGCAGATCTGCGAGACAATGCAACATAAGTCAGTGAAAGTGGAGGTGATTGGTGGATGTGACTCTGTGAAAATTCGTTTGTGGGAACAGAGTTTCAGATGATTTAGAGTGATTAGCAGGCAGGAGATGAGATACCAGTTGTAAGCCTGTTGGATATTTTTGTACCCAGAACTAAAAAATGTATGGTTGATGATTTTGGCTATGGGTATGTGTGTGGCCAATGTTACAAAAGTGCAGATAGGTGGTCTTGGTAATGGAAAGGAGATAGGATCAGAAGCCCACCTATGAGTCAACTGGCTCATTATTTGTAAAATTTCATTTGTCAAAATTCTAGGATCAGGTTTCTTTCTAAAGTTTGAATGCAGTCATCAAGTCCTGTTTAGAGGGTTGTGGAATTTCCATGGTTGAATATATTCAAGGCTTAACATATTTTTGGTCTCTAGGAGCAGAGAAATATTGCAAGTGATTGAGAAAGTAGAGTTGAAACCCAAGATCAGGGTTATGTTGAATATCACAGCAAGTTCAATCTGTACAATATTGAGAAGATGCTGCGTTGTTGGAGTTGCTATCTTTTGGTTGAGAAATAAACCAATGTTGACCTTTCAGGTAAAATTAAAAGATCAGTTTGGCTACCATTTTGGAAAAGAAGAGGGATCCTTAATGTCGTGGCCAATATTTATTCCTCAGTCAGCATTTCTCAAATAGATTAACGAACATTTATCATGCATGTGGGATCTTACTCTGTGCAAATTACCAACTGGGTTTCCTGTATTACAACAGTGACCATACTTTAAAAAGTACGTGCTTGGCTGTAAAGTGCTTTGACAAATCTAATGGTGATGAGAAGTGTTTTATAAATGCGCGCCTTTCTATTGACAACTAATTGAAGAGTAGCTATAAGGAAGTGCTCCAGAACACATTTCTTCCATGGCTTTGCTTAGAATGTTCATGTTAGTGATTGCCTGATTTTGTTTATGACGTGTGGTTCAATCACATAAAAGCGAAACTCGCAGGCCCATGTAATTTATTAACTGCTGCTTTGATTTTACACATTGCAGTCTCTGTGATTTCATGTCAGTGGAAGCGCACTGAAGCGTGTGAGATACTTGCACCTTGCTTGTTCTTTCCAAGTAGAAATTTTCTGTGGTTTACTGTGGTCACAAAGCATACCACTGGGTCACCAGCAGTTTGACAAAAGCCAAATATTTTGCCTGCAGTCACCATGAGATAGGAGCCAAAATGACTTGAAAAAGTAGCTGTAGGATAAGGAGAGACTGTGTTAATGGCCTTGGAAAGTTAATTTTTAAATGTTGCAACATCAGCTGAATGGGTCAATGTAGATTGTGATACTTGTGATCAAGACTAGGGCTGTTTGTTGAGGAATTGTTTAATTATCAGTAAAGCATGATGTCACTTTAGAAAGTGTTTTTAAGACACCTCATTCACTGACAGTTTCAGACAATAAGTAATCAGAGCTGCAGGCCTTGCCTAGAGGGATTTTCACGATCCTGGGCTCTGTTTGACGAGCCTTATGCACACACAGGAAGATCAGCATCTAATGCCAACAGGAAAGAAAAATAATTTTGTTGGGTTCTGGATGTTATTTAAAGAGTCAGCAGTGAGATTATGGTCCATAGGTTTTATTTGAAGATTACTTAGACTCTGCATTGCTTTCAGCTCAAACAGGAAATTGTCATTGGAGAATAGGGAAAATGTTAAACTATTGAACAGTTAGTGAAGGAAGTGATGAGCTGAATGTCTGAAATCACATACAAAACAGAGGTTGCTGGAAAAGCTCAGGTCTGGCAGCATCTGTGAAGAAAAATCAGAGTTAATGTTTCGGGTCTGGTGACCCTTCCTTGGAACAACCTCCACCTTTTCCAGCAACCTCTGTTTTTGTTCCTGATTTATAGCATATGTAGTTCTTTTGGTTTTTGTCAAAAATCACATGTTTGCATGAACAGTTTCTGGATGTAAACTTTCCCAGTGCCATCTTGAGAGGAGCTTTTATATATTTACTTTTATATACATTTTGTGCTTTACTGACCTGATATTTAAGTAACCATGTTGGTAGTCTCAAGGCATTGCCCATACAACTGTGCTGGTAATATTTCTCATTAAGCATCTATTGAGAGGTTTTGTGCAGTGGAAGCATGTGGCAGCTGAAATAAACACACAGATTAGGAGCAGGCCCCTGGAGCTTGCTCAGTCATTCAATAAGGTGATGTTATTCCATGTGTGTCCTCCCCAAACCGTTTCCTTGAGGAAAGTTTTTTTCTTATATGCCTTGTAGGATAACTCCTCATTTATAAACAGTGACCCCTAATTCTGAATATTCTCACATGGAAACATTCTTACCACACGTATCCTGATGAAACTTCTTTGGATCTTTATGCTTCAATCAAATGGGTTCTTACCCTTCTAAATTGTAGCAGGTTCAAGCCTAGTCTGACCAACTTTTCTTCAGAAGATCACCACCTGTTCCGAGTCTTAGTCTAGTAAACTTTCTTTGAATTGTTTCCAACACATTTGCCTCCTTTAAATAAGGAGACTGTCCTTGCACTTATTACTCCAGAAGTGGTTTCACCAATGCCCTGCATAGTCGTAGCATAACCCTTACTTTTGTATTCAGTTTCCTTTGTTACTTACTGCAATCTATTAGTTTTCCTAAATATTTGCTGTACCTGCAAACTAATCTTTGTGATTCATGCACATGGGCACCTAGATTTCTGTGCATCTGAGATATCTACAGTCTCTCATCATTGTGACAGTATGCATCTTTTATTCTTTCTGCCAACTTTGACTTCACATTTTCCCACATTATACTCCATGTGACTTGGACTATTTATGTTCCTTTGTAGCTTGCAGCTCCAATAATTTGCTTAGTACCATTTCCCTGGTGATTGTAATTTTCTTACATTTCTCCCTTCCATTTTCTGTATTTCAGTTATATCTGAGATGTTACTTTTTGTCCACTGTGGTGAAGACTGATGCAATAAAAGTGTTCCTCTGTCATTTCTATTATTAATTCCCCAGATCCACTTTCTGTAAGACTGATGTGCTCATTTTGTTAACTCTTTTCTTGCTTTTGTATTTCTAGTTAGCTTTTACCTTTTGTTCCTTATTAATCTTTTAGCCATTTGTTGCTTTTCTAATGTTCTGGTCATCAACCTGATCTGCTATCATCTTTAGGCAATTAAGTTTTTCTTTAATAAGAACTGATAATGCTGGAGAAACTCAGCATGTCTAGCAACATCTGTGGAGAGAGGCACAAGGTTAATGTCCAAGTCCAATGATTGTTCAAAACATTGAAATCATTGAACTCAAAGCATTAACCTTGTTTCTCTCTCCATAGCTGCTGCTAGATTTGCAAGTTTCTCTGATACTTTGTGTTTTTATTTTGGAAATCCAGCATCCACAATATTTTGCCTTTATTTTAGTGCTTTTTCTTTAAGTATGAAACTAAAAATTTTAGTTAACCATGGATGATGGGTCTTCTCCTTAGAATTTTTCTTCCTTTATTGGAATCTACTTATTCTGCGTTTATGAAATATTTCCCTTCCAAGACCTGCCACTACCTAATTTGCCAGTTCACTTTAGCAAACTCTTCTTTCAGTCCCACATAATTGTCCTTTTTTAGTTCAAAATACTAATCTTGGGCTCACTTTTCTCTGTAAAATTCAATCATATTATCTTTGGACTGAGGGATACCTTGACTATAAGATCATTAATTAATCCCATCTTTGTGCACAAAAGCCATGTCTGGTATAGCCTGCTGTCTTTTTGGTTTTGAAACCGATGTTGTAAGAAACTATTTGGAAAATATTCTATATTGTCTTCATGTAGGCTGCTTTGGCCTATTGACAGTTCAAGTATATATGTAGATTAAAACCTCCATATTGCCAAGACAAGCTCCCTTTTCTTCCTATATGTACAATTTTACTGCATTGTTATTGTTACAGATCCTGTACACCACCCCCACAAGTTATTTCTTGTTTTTTGTCATTTCTCGCCTTTTTAATTGCGCAAACCTCGGACGCCAACTGTTGATCTCCCAATGTGGCTAATCTCTGCCAGGTACTGATGGGGCTGAGGGGCCCTCTGATAAGGGAATATGGTGTGTTGAGGAGCCGGTTGGTAGGGAAATCAGCCAGGGTTTCTGCCTCTGACCTGTGACTTGCTAAATAACCATGAGTTTGGACTGGTTTGAATTCAATATTGGTTCTCCACCTCAGTGACAAACCCTCCGATAATGTCCAGATGCAGCATGCGAATAATATTCAAAGATGGTGAGCCAGTAGTTTTGCACGAAGAAATATGGGAAAGTTGTTCAAACACTGTGCCTGCACAGACCAGGTTTTGAGAGCAGTTTCTGCTGTATGACCATAGGATAAGTGTGATTGACTTGAAACATGAAACCCTGAAACTGGGAAAGGGGGAGGTGTAGTGTTCACCAAGTTTCTCTTTCCATGCCATGATCATTAGGATACACAGACTCAGACAGTATTTGTCATTGTTTTCAGCCTGAGATGCCTAGCCCATCCCAAAACAAGGCATGAAGTTCTGATTCTGAA